GGAAAGGTAGGGGGTGTATGGACCAGGTGTTTACAGTGAAACATATAAGTGAACAGTATTTAGATAAGGCTAAAGAGGTCTTTGTGGCATTTATGGATTTGGAAAAGGCGTATGACAGGGTGGATAGGGGGGCAATGTGGCAGATGTTGCAAGTGTATGGTGTAGGAGGTAGGTTACTGAAAGCAGTGAAGAGTTTTTACGAGGATAGTGAGGCTCAAGTTAGAGTATGTAGGAAAGAGGGAAATTATTTCCCAGTAAAAGTAGGCCTTAGACAAGGATGTGTGATGTCACCGTGGTTGTTTAATATATTTATAGATGGGGTTGTAAGAGAAGTAAATGCGAGGGTCTTGACAAGAGGCGTGGAGTTAAAAGATAAAGAATCACACACAAAGTGGGAGTTGTCACAGCTGCTCTTTGCTCATGACACTGTGCTCTTGGGAGATTCTGAAGAGAAGTTGCAGAGATTGGTGGATGAATTTGGTAGGGTGTGCAAAAGAAGAAAATTAAAGGTGAATACAGGAAAGAGTAAGGTTATGAGGATAACAAAAAGATTAGGTGATGAAAGATTGAATATCAGATTGGAGGGAGAGAGTATGGAGGAGGTGAATGTATTCAGATATTTGGGAGTGGACGTGTCAGTGGATGGGTCTATGAAAGATGAGGTGAATCATAGAATTGATGAGGGAAAAAGAGTGAGTGGTGCACTTAGGAGTCTGTGGAGACAAAGAACTTTGTCCTTGGAGGCAAAGAGGGAATGTATGAGAGTATAGTTTTACCAACGCTCTTATATGGGTGTGAAGCATGGGTGATGAATGTTGCAGCGAGGAGAAGGCTGGAGGCAGTGGAGATGTCATGTCTGAGGGCAATGTGTGGTGTGAATATAATGCAGAGAATTCGTAGTTTGGAAGTTAGGAGGAGGTGCGGGATTACCAAAACTGTTGTCCAGAGGGCTGAGGAAGGGTTGTTGAGGTGGTTCGGACATGTAGAGAGAATGGAGCGAAACAGAATGACTTCAAGAGTGTATCAGTCTGTAGTGGAAGGAAGGCGGGGTAGGGGTCGGCCTAGGAAAGGTTGGAGAGAGGGGGTAAAGGAGGTTTTGTGTGCTAGGGGCTTGGACTTCCAGCAGGTATGCATGAGCGTGTTTGATAGGAGTGAATGGAGACAAATGGTTTTTAATACTTGACGTGCTGTTGGAGTGTGAGCAAAGTAACATTTATGAAGGGGTTCAGGGAAACCGGCAGGCCGGACTTGAGTCCTGGAGATGGGAAGTACGGTGCCTGCACTCTGAAGGAGGGGTGTTAATGTTGCAGTTTAAAAACTGTAGTGTAAAGCACCCTTCTGGCAAGACAGTGATGGAGTGAATGATGGTGAAAGTTTTTCTTTTTCGGGCCACCCTGCCTTGGTGGGAATCGGCCAGTGTGATAATAAAATAATAATAATAAGCAACAGAAGTTCAGGAGTTATATTACTGCTTTATACATCATTAGTAAGGCCTCGCCTAGATTACGCAGCTCAGTTCTGGTCTCCATATTACAAAATGGGCATAAATTCATTAGAAAACATTCAGCGTAGAATGACTAAATTAATACAAAGCATTAGAAATCTTCCTTATGAAGAAAGATTGAAGACCCTTAAATTACATTCACTTGTTAGACGAAGAATGAGGGGAGACATGATTGAAGAATAAGTGGAAGATGGGTATCAATAAAGGGAATATAAATAAGGTCTTGAGGATATCTCTCCAAGAGAGAACCCGCAGTAATGGATTCAAATTAGACAAGTTTAGTATTGGTTTAGAAATAGGGTAGTTGATGAGTGGAACAGTCTACCTAGTTGAGTTATTGAGGCTAAAACTTTGGGTATTTTAAAATTTAAGTTGGATAAATACATGAGAGAGGGGTTGGATTTTAGTGGGACTTGCATATGAGTGGACAGAGTTATCAGAGCTTATTTCTTGGGTGGCATTGAAAATTGGGTTGGGCACATGTTTTTGTTAGTGGGATGGATTGTGAAGGACCTGCCTAGTATGGGCCAACGGCCTGCTACAGTGCTCCTCCTTTCTTATGTTCTTATCTACATTGAACTGCATCTGCCACTTTTCTGACCAAGAATAGTTTGTCTAAATCCTCCTGAAGTTCCCTGACATCTACGTTTGAATCAATTATTCTACCTATCTTTGTGTCATTGGAGAATTTGCTCTTATCACTAGTAATACCCTCATCAAGGTCATTGATATAGTATATTATAAACAACAACGGGCCTAAGACTGAACCCTGTGGAACGCCACTTGTTACAAATCTCCATTCGGATTTAACCCCGTTTAAGCATACTCTCTGCTTCCTATTAGTGAGCCATGACTCGATCCATGACAGCACTTTTCCCCCAATGCCATGAGTTGCCACTTTCTTTAGCAGTTTCTGGTGCGGTACTCTATCAAAAGCCTTACTAAAATCTAAATAAACAATATCGAATTCTTTATCATGATCTACGGCCTCAAAAGCTTTACTGAAGATGTAGTGATGTACACGTTTACTGATGTCTCGGACTTACGACAGGCTCTCTGACCATTATTCATACCTGTGTATTAGAGCTGATTTCCTCTTATTCTGTTTATTACAATATATAGTACACTACTGTATAAACATTTAAAAATATACCAGAAATGTTATAAATGGTGCAAAGGTGACATTAAAACAATATCAAAGACAGTTGACAAACTGACTACCATTATAGTATGCTCCTAACTTAGCAACGAATTTGTTTAACAATGTGGTCTTAGGAATGGAACTCTGTCATTAAGGAGAAACACTGCAGCAGGCCTGTTGGCCCATACTAGGCAGGTCCTTTACAATCCTTCCCACTAACAAAATATTTGCCCAACCCAATTTTCAATGCTACTCACTTACTGATGACTTGGACTTACGACGGGCTCTCTGACCAGTATGCATACCTAAGTAATGTATATTAGAGCTGATTTTCTATATTCTGTTTATTACAATATACAGTACACTACTGTATAAACATTAAAAAAAAAATATACAAAATATGTTATAAATGGTGCAAAGGTAACATTAAAATAATATCAAAGATGGTTGACACAAACCCACTGCCATTATAGTATGTTCCTTGCTTAGTGACAAATTCACTTACCGACATGGCCTTAGGAACAGAACTTCGTCGTTAAGTGAGGAGAGGCTGTAATACAATTTTGAGGTGGGAAACAGCTGGTGCTGAAAAAAAAAATTAAATCTCATTCCTCTCTATCTTTGGTCATTTTAATAATGTAATGTACCATATGAATATTCAAAGGTAGTTTCCCAATTTCAAATACAGTTGAAAAAAAAAAAAAATAAAATAAGCAGACACATTGCTGAAAAAATGTGGAAGCAAAGTCCTTTCCATAACTTAATTCCTCCAGGTTATTCTTCATTTTTACATTTTTTCCACCTAATACTAACTTTGTTTTATTTCATTACCCATTGCTTATTTTCAGAGATCTGTATAGCCCTTGTGGCTTAGCGCTTCTTTTTGATTATAATAATAATATTTTCAGAGATGGTGATGTCACTTATTGATTGCTTCTTGTCAGTACGCTGGTGTATATTGCATGGAGTAGTACATATAAAGTGACTTTAGAAAGCATCAGTATTATTAATAGGTTTGACCTCTCTGTACACTAATGCTTTGAAATTATTGGTTTTAAATTATTCTATTTCTTTAAATATACTCATGTTGCTGTATAATCTGCTTGGCATGTTCATCTAGTTAGGTTATATTTTACATCATATTTAGTCTTGATGAATATACTATATTAAACCTTGTTATAAAATTATTCATGTTATTTTTATAATGGATATGTACAGTACAGTTTTGCACTCTGTAATTGTGTATTATGTGAGAACCTTACAAAAGGTGAATTTGCAGATACTATACAAAAAATTAGAGTATAGAGTACAGTAGTTACTTAAATGATTCATTTAAAATCTTTTTTTTAACAGCTGCAGGAAAACTGGGTCCTTTAGCAGAAATATTAAGGTTATCTTAAAGATTTTTATTGTCATTATTAGAGGTAAACATAAAATGAAAATTTAGTAAATAAAATTATTATTGTTAGTCGAAGAGCATCTGTATGAGAATGGAGATTCACGAGTGTCACAAGGTTCAGCTACTGTACTACATATATATATATATATATATATATATATATATATATATATATATATATATATATATATATATATATATATATATATATATATATATATATATGCAATAAGATCACAGTAAACAGGTGATTTGAGAATATGCAAAACAACCACTCTGAAAGAATAGAGAAATTCCAAGCGCTTTCGTGACTACTCACATTATCAAGTTCCTTGATAATGTGAGTAGTCACGAAAGCGCTTGGAATTTCTCTATTCTTTCAGAGTGGTTGTTTTGCATGCATATATATATATATATAATAATATATATATATATATATATATATATATATATATATATATATATATATATATATATATATATATATATTATTTATTTTACAGTAGGATTATGTTGGTGAGGGGCTCTTGATTTAGGGAATTGAATGTGCTCCAGTTCCCCGAATTAAGCCTGAATGCCTTCCACATCCCCCCCTGGGCGCTGTATAATCCTACGGGCTTAGCGCTTCCCCCTTGATTATAATAATAATAATAATAATACAGTAGTAGTACTTTGCTGGAGATTATGAAATGGTGTATGAGAGTTGTAAGTCCCTGAGCTGGTCCTGTGATGACAGACCATGGGTTATAAAATAAAACTCACAGACAGGTAAATTTGTGAATGCAGAAGCACAAATACTGAGGTATTAAGGTACAGTCCTATGAAAATATAGGATGTTGTGTTGTAGTGTGTTTCCAAAATTTTAGATAATATTTATGTAAATGATGAACCTTTCTTTATGAAGAGGTTCATTTTGACTTTAAAGTAATGACTACAATTTTTTCCTGCATGCACAGGTTACTACGGTGCGGGATACCAGGTTTAAGATGGGAGTGGGCATGGGTGGCAGGCGTCCTACTTGGAGGCAGACTCTTAGATTCAACAGACAGCAGGCCCTTAGACACTAGTGCAGCAACTCAGGATATTAGCTGTGCAGGGCAAGACACAGTTGGAGAGACTGCAGATGATGATTATCGTGAATATGGTGTGCAACGTGGACGGCAATTCCCACGAGATGTCCGATACTCTGTTGAGCTTGAGTACTCCCAACCCCTTAGTTGGATATCCCGCACTACTGATGGTCGTTTTGTGCTGGACAAAGACAGTGAAGAAGGTGGTTTTACATCACCAAGACGACCTACTCGGGGTGTTGGGGGAATACCTATTGGTGGAGATCAGGGGCAGGTTTCTTCTAGATGGGTTAGAGATGAAGTGGGGGTAGAGAGTGGTGTTTATCATGTACGTGCTGGCACAGCTAGTCGCCTCCATCACCGTCAGCCCCTTCCTCCTCGTCTTAGTTTACGTTCAGATGGCTCTGGTGCCAGCACACATGAAGAACCATGGCCAGCAAGTACTCAAATTGATCAATCCAGTGGCAGATGGGATGCACCTGATTCACAAATACCTCCTGTATCTCCTGAGTTTGGCCGGCATGTTATACCAGAAAGCCCTGGTGATATCGTCTGGTCTCCACGCTCCAGACGTTTTAGAGCATCTTCCCCAGGGCCTTTAAGTTCAGAATGGAGTCAGTTAGCTCAATTAGCATCATTTAGTGAGGTGAGCAGTGTTCAGCAACCATCTAGTGTGGAACGTTCATTTCCCTCTACTGTACTTTCATCCTTTCCTAATTCAGCACAAGGAACACCATCTGCCCATGGTATCTCAGCTACTATGACACCACCTCACGGAGATGCTTTACGAGTACTTCATCATCGTTATACCCGTCAGCTACCACCACTGTCCACCTCTCAGTTACACCCAGGTCGCCTTTTAGTAGGAGCACAAGTTCATTCTCCTCCAACACGTTTACACCCACAATTACAGGCCTGGGCAGCACCTCCACATCCTTCACTGGACTCTGCCTGGATTACCCCTCACCGCCCCACACATGTATGGCCCACAACCCGCCCAGTGAGCCATCCTTCACATCAAACTGGTCGACCAGAGCTGACAGTGTTGGAGTCTGGCCAGCATGTACATTCACCACCACTGGTAAGGGAAGACCCTGTGGTGCGGGAGGCACTTGGTCATATCCAGCCTCCACGCATACCAGACATCCCACGCCATTATGTTAACCTTCCTCCGAGACGTGACGCTTATCAACGAATACTGGGGCGGGACCCCCCCTATTTGCTCAAACCTTCTTCCTCGGAGAATCAAAAGCCGCTGGCCACAAGCTCGCCCCCCCGCCCACGTGCTATTCAGGACCAGCAAAGGGCCCAGGGGTTGCCCAGGCCACGACCGCTGCCTCCCCCACCCCCTTCCAGTACAAAGACCAGAGTACCTGACCCTTTGCCTAGAGCAGTGGGTAGGACGCGAGATAGTGATTCTAGTAGTGACCAGCCTGTGACATACACTCGTGAACGTTTGCAGGAGGCCATTGGGCGGGTACGTAGTGGCCTTTTTGGAGAGGCACCACTAACGAGTAGTGCCCCAGAACTAAGCTCTGCAGGGCGATCAGAGACTAGACTTACATCTAGCCGCCATCCCACAAGGCACACTGGTGGTATTAGTGCTCCAGAAAGTCGTGAGCAATCACACGAACAATCTCAAGAGCAGTCCCCTGACTCTTCTAGTGGGTTTGGTAGTAAAAATACATCTCAGCAGCAAAGTTCGTCACAGTCAGGACAGTCATTGTCAGCATTAGGCCTTGATTCCTCACGTCTTGAAGCCTCAGAAGTCACAGAAACCACGGAAGCCCCGGATCTACCACCACCAGCTCCACCTGCCTGGCTCTTGGCAGCTCCTCGCAGTCGCCCTACACCTTGGCTACGTCCACCACATCCCCCCCCATATGAGGAGTGGGCAGCACGTCAAGTATTGCCACAGTTTCGTATGCCTTCTCTCACAGGACCACGCCATTCAGGTATAAAGGCAGGTATGGCTGGGCGACGACAGCGGCTTGTATCAGCAGGATTAGATGCTAGTGTGGATTCTGGTAATATAGTTATGGTATCTCCACGACCTCCACCCATCACCATACCTGTGACTGCACAGCAGCCACTTGATATAAGTGTGGATGACCACTACGAATTTGACACAGTGTTGAGTCCCACACCTGGGGAGGATGCAGCTGCTGAGTGGTCAAGAACCCGTGTTCCATCAGGCGAGCGTGGCCTCAGCGACTCTGAGATCTACGGGTCAGGTGGGCGGCGGCGCCACGAGTCGATGGAGGCACGTGTTGCTGCAATGAAACAGGAATTTAACGAATACAGACGAAGACAGGCACGTCGCCGACGCAGTAGGGAACTGGAAAGTGTGTGTTAATGGGAAGTGAATCAGAACTACAAGCAACTATTGTTGCAAACAATGCACGAGTGAAAAACACAGCCCCATTATAGTGTAAGTGTATAATGAAGTAACATTCAGTGATGAGTCTTTCAAGTGTGGAGAGTCAGGTAAGGCTCGCTAGGCGCCGCAGCCATAACCAGTAATACTCACTATAGTGACGCTGCAGATGCTGCGTCCCAAGAACTGTGCAAATTGTTGAATTTTATATATTCCTATTGGATCTCTGTTTAAAAAAATTCTCTTAACTTTGTATTGTAGTTAGAGAAGCCCTTTCATGTGATAACTACAATGCCCATATGACACGTTCAAGCAAAGTATGAAGCACAATTTCTCTGTCTTCACTGCATCACCTTCACTCTTGGGAACAATCACACTGTAACCTTTAGAAGGAACTTGTCATTCTTCCAGGTCAACATATATTTGTACTCTTTCTTTTGTCTTCTCTTATTTTTATTTTGGCTCATATTACAGTAGTTACAAGCCTGTTTTTAAATACTCGTACTAAATGGCTTCTGTAAAGTATATACTGTATATCCCAATCACTATACCATGTCCATTTCCTAGAGGTGCTCCATAATTGGTTCTCAGCATATTTCTGTGTCTTCAATTGGCTTAATGTGTTCTTATTGCTTAATATCTGGCAATGAAGTTATTTATCTCATATATTCAAATTTGTTATGTATAAATGTGTATACTAAATATATATATTTTTTAAATCTTGGGCCATTCTCTACCAGGGTGGGGTGACCCAAAGAAAATATTCACCACTCACTCTAGCTGCCATACCAGAAAGACATCACAACATGTTTAATATATGTGCATATTTATTATGAATAAAATATTTTCATTGGTTTTCTATACTGAAAATGAATAAATTACTTTACAGAAAAAAACATTCAGATAAGGAAATTAACAAGATTCAAAGGAATTAATATATAACTTATGAAGTGACGACATTCAATTTGAAGAATGGGAAGAAAAATTATTGGTTCTAAATATGCACAAGTCTTAAGTTCAGTCAGTTATATCAGTTGTGTATGTATATTTTATAATATATATATTTTATATATATATATATATATATATATATATATATATAATATATATATATATATATATATATATATATATATATATATATATATATATATATATTATATATATATATTATATATATACTATATATGCAATAAGATCACAGTAAACAGGTGATTTCAGAATATGCAAAACAACCACTCTGAAAGAATAGAGAAATTCCAAGCACTTTCGTGACTACTCACATTATCAAGGAACTATGAAAGTAAAGCATCCAAGGAAGCTATATAAGGGGTCTGGCCAGCACCTCACTATCAGATCCCACAACGGTTAAACACCTGACACGCGCCGACCCAACTTGGATAGGTCCTTTGCACAACTCACCCCACAAACTATTCTACCCAAGAAAATTTAAAAATTATTTGTCCAGTGTATTATTAAATTCTTCCCAAATTCTATTAATTATAAATGGATCTAATTTATATAAACCAAAGGAAATATTCATATTATTGTCAAAATTGCTTTTTATGAAACAAGATTCAATTATATTCCTGTCGACCATGGACTTGCTTGATACTACTTTCTCAACTTTTTGAAAATCAATTGGATGGTTAAAATCTCTTACATGAATAAATAGAGCATTGGAATCTTGTCCAGTTCTAATGCTATATTTATGTTGTTTTAATCTTAGTTCGAGATTTTTACCAGTTTGACCGTAATAAACTTTATCGCAAATTTTACAAGGAATCTTATAAACTTTACTGTTGAGTTTGAAGAAAATAACTCATTGCCTTTTCTAGATGTTTTAATTATTAAGGGTAATAATGAATTCAAATTTAAAATTTACAGAAAACCTACAAATAACTGTTCCTATGTCCACTATTATTCCTCGCATCAAGATAGAGTCAAACTGTCTGTTTTCTCATCAATGTTTCTGAGAGCTTTACGAATTTGTAGTCCTGAGTTCATAGATGAGGAAATATCCAAAATTTATGAAATAGGTAATGATTTAAAATACCCAAGAAATGTAATTGATAAATCTTTTAAAGTTGCTAGAAATACTTTTTACAATCCAAAAAGGGACAACCAGCCTTATTCAACTAAAAATATGTTGGTTCTCCCTTACCATGAAAACTTGGTTGATATGCCTTCTCTTCTTAAGACTTTTAATATTAAAGTTGTATTCAAAAATCTTGATACAGTAAAAAAACTTTTGATAAAGAATTCCCCCCAAAATGCTGATGGATGTGTCTATAAGATTCCTTGTAAAATTTGCGATGAAGTTTATTACGGTCAAACAGGTAAAAATCTCGAACTAAGATTAAAACAACATAAATATAGCATTAGAACTGGACAAGATTCCAATGCTCTATTTATTCATGTAAGAGATTTTAACCATCCAATTGATTTTCAAAAAGTTGAGAAAGTAATATCAAGCAAGTCCATGGTCGACAGGAATATAATTGAATCTTGTTTCATAAAAAGCAGTTTTGACAATAATATGAATATTTCCTTTGGTTTATATAAATTAGATCCATTTATAATTAATAGAATTTGGGAAGAATTTAATAATACACTGGACAAATAATTTTTAAATTTTCTTGGGTAGAATAGTTTGTGGGGTGAGTTGTGCAAAGGACCTATCCAAGTTGGGTCGGCGCGCGTCAGGTGTTTAACCGTTGTGGGATCTGATAGTGAGGTGCTGGCCAGACCCCTTATATAGCTTCCTTGGATGCTTTACTTTCATAGTTCCTTGATAATGTGAGTAGTCACAAAAGCGCTTGGAATTTCTCTATTCTTTCAGAGTGGTTGTTTTGCATATATATATATATATATATATAGTGTGTGTGTGTGCATGCATGTGCATGCACACACACATGCACACACACAGTGCATGTGTGTGCATGCACAATACCAGTGTATTGAGCTTAATAAGCAAGTCAATGATATAAGCCAAATTAAATTAAAATAAAAGATTTTAGAAATTTATGATTTGTGTTGAAAGATTGTGTTGACAAATTGCAATTTTGTACCAAAACTTAACAACCCTAACTTAACCTTGTTAAAATTTGCATAATATTATACTATATACAGCAACTCATTACTACCAAAGCTGTATAATATCATTTAATATGTTAATGTAGAGGTTTTCAAACTTAGTTTTCCTGAGTGTAATAGTCATGAACTTTTGCTTGACTTGCCTAGTTAAACAGTGCTGAAAAAAACAAGTTTCAGAAGGTTGGCTTTAAAAGTGTGTGTGTGTGTACACACATTTATATACGTGTATGCATGTTTGTAGGTATGTATGGTGTGCTAACACACACACACACACACACACACACACACACACACACACACACACACACACACACACACACAAAAAAAAAAAAAAAAACAAGCCTAGTGTCTAATTGATATGTGCCTAGGACAAAATGGTAAAACACACACACACACAAACCAGGGCCAGGACCCGAGTCCCAACCCCTGCAGCCACAATTAGGGGAGTATACACATACACATCAACAACAACAATTTTCAACACATCCATTGCAACTACCTGAGGTGTGGAAGATGGCAAAGGTAGTCCCAATTTTTAAGAAAGGTGATAGACATGAAAAACTACAGACTTGTGTCACTGACATGTATAGTATTATCAGGAGGAGAGTGGTGAAACACCTAGAAAGGAACAATCTTATACATGACAACTAGTACATTTTCAGGAAAGGGAAATCCTGTGTCACAAACTTACTGGAGTTTTATGACAGGTTAACAGAAGTAAGGCATGAGAGAAAGGGGTAGGTAGGTAGATTGTGTGTATGCATGTTTGTAGGTATGTATGGTGTGCTAACACACACACACACACACATGTATATACAACAAGCCTAATGTCTAATTGAGATGTGCCTAGGACAAACTGGTAAAAAACACACACACACACACACACACACACACACACCAGGCCTAGTGTCTGACATGTGCCTAGGACAAAATGAAAACTAACTCAAACATTCATATTAGCACTCCCTCATACTCTCTCTCACTATATGCATACAGTTTTAATCCCAAAAGAATATACAAAAGATGGAGATTTACAGTTTCAATTTTATTTGAAATCATTTCCTGGGTAGAGTGAGAGAGGGGAGGCATGTAAACTGTTATTCTGTGGGCTGATTCACAGTGTGCTGAACAGGTTCCAACACACTCATGCTACATGTGTTGCCAGTGACTGCTATTTCCCGACATAGCATGAGCTTCCTCCACATGGACTTCATTACTTATATTTTTACACTCCAAATCTTTTATTGGGCATTTCAAAGGCTGTTTAATAAATATTTTTCTCATTTGACTAATACAGTATATATAGACACAATGCATTTTAGGCAGTACCATACACAGCTTTGGAGCTGATTATAAAAAGTGCATATTTATTTGCTTTCATGTATGAGACCTAAATTAATATTCAAGTCTTTAAAAAAACTCACTTGGGAAGAAATTTAAATATATGGAAATATCATTTATTATCACTACTACTACTACTACTACTACTACAGTAAACTCTATACATGTTTGGTTGGATCACTTAATGCAAGTAGGAGGCACATTCCTCGACCTATTTATGAGACTGATGCTGTCTCTCACAGCTAGGCTTTTTCCTTAGTAGCAATAGAGCATATTTTTTCAAATTTCTTATCAATAAATTGTGAACTACATACTGTTAAGGCTTTTAAAAGTATGGTAGAGAACACAGCAGCCTTAGTCATTTGATAGAGGCTAGAGAAGTGATGCCTATTCACCTGAGTAGCTTTTCTATGAACTTAGATACTGAAGCTTAAGATTAGTATTATTCTTAAGACAGTGAAAACATTGCCTATATTTTATAAACAGCTACACTTCTCAGAGGGCTAAGGTGGGTCGTATATTCCTCTCAAGAGGTCCTTTCTGCTCAGGTACTTTGATAATTGTAGCCAGTATGGTGAATTAACACTAAAGCTAAAATTTCCACAGGTTGCACTTTTCAAATTCAATTTATGTCCTAGAACACTAGAGGACTCCAACTTACAAAAGCCCCATGTTATACATATCCACATTTTCAAACCGGGCACCTTATAATAAGTTAATATTTTTCATCTGCTCAACTGCAGTATGTATGAACTTTTATGCAGCATAACTGTCCTCTGTACTGTTTCCTTTGCACACAATTTGTAAGTTATAAACTAGAGATATAGTTTGTTTTAAGTTAGGATTTGTACAGCATTTTGAATGTGTGAAACCAGATTACCCTTGAAAGGAGCTGAATGCTTAGCTAGCTACTTTGACAACCTTTGTCTGACTGACAGGGATTGTCAACTCTGTTTTTAGATTAAATGTGTATGTGTTCTTTAAGTAAGCTTTTTATCTCTAAAATTGTTATTCACAATTTCCTTGGTCTCAAATTAATTGAGTACAGATCAGCATCAAATCAAATCAAATATCGTATAGTGTAATGAAATTTTGTTGCTTGCTACTAAACAAAAAAATATGATCCCTCCTTGTAAACCACCTAATTAAGAACATTTCATACCTAAAATGAGTTTTCAATTTTGACATTAAGTTTACCACAGCTAAATCATGTGCTAACCCTAATTAAACCACTAGCCATTTATGAAATTTACAGTAAACTTAAATTATGATTTGACACAGGAAGCTGTCCTCATTGCCAGAAGATTTTTTTTTCTTTTTGCAACAAAAATTGAGCCTCTAAAGAGTAAATATCTAATAGAAACATACAATTAAAGCATTTAATTCTAACATACTTGTGACCTTTGATAAAAGGTCATAACATTAAAATAAATAATGATGTATATGATGCTGACATATACTCTGAGTAAATAAGGGACCTCACTAAAGGTTAAGGACCCCTTAGTTATACAGTGGTCCCTCGCTTTTCGTAGTTCTCGGCAATCGTAAATTTCGCCAATCATAGGGGTATTTTCGTATAAACATGGACT